CCTGCTTCTGCCTGCATCCCACTTCCAGCTGCTCACTGCCAACCTGCCTTTGTACTAGCACTTAGCACTAATGCCACTTTTGCTGCTAGCAGTAATGCTGCCAGCACCTAGGAAGCTGCCTGAGGAGATGCAACTCCTTAACCCAGCAGGGCTGTCAGAGAAAGAGATACAGTACTGCAGCTGAACAGCAAGGATAATTGAGTGCAGAAATGGACTGCCTGGGGCAATTGTGAAATCTCCATTGTTGGTGAGTTTGAAAAGCTTAAAGACAAACATCTGTCAGGAACAGTTTAGGCAGGGTTGATCCTCCCTCGGGAGGGAGGATCCACATGATCTCTCAGTCATACTACCACTGTCTTCTAGGACTCTTTAGGGAGTATTTCTAGTTTCCACTTTCTTGCTGTCACCCTTTTAATCATTTTAATGTGGTTTGCAGACATTCTGAAGACTACATCTCCAGTAAGAAAAGCAATGGCCTGTTCCTCTAGTACTGGTATAGTTTACACTAGAAGTAGACTATATAGCCAGAGAGAATTGTTGCTGTCTGCTGGTGTAATCCAGCCTGGAGCAGAGACAAGCATAACTAAATCCCATTCCTAGCAGGGTTTATTTAGCTGACCAACTGCATAGGTGTCAGTGGTCTCTTCTTTTTCTTGCCTGCCTCCTGTGGGATACCAGAGAAGCAGCTGAGCAAGGGCTTTCTCGCTTTTATCACTTCTCTTACAGCTATGAGGTGAGACAGAATAAAAACTGGCACAGGAAAGAAAACAGAAAAATGTCTTCATTAAAAGACAGCAGAAAATTGAACAACAAACCAAGGCAAATTACACAAACAGGTCAAGATCTAAAGAAAAGGGAGACAATTATTTTCCCAGTGTTTATCTAGCAGCCGCAATAATCTTTTCATGACACTCCATAGGAAGATATTACTTGGAAGCTCCTTCTTACCTTTCCCATTTGAGGTTCTCCAATCAGTGCTCTGAATTCAAGGTTGTTCTGAGCATAGCTTCTAAGGTGAGCACAGACATGATCCAGCTGTTTTCTCCAGTAACCTGATAAGATACAGTTAAGCAGGAGAAAAATCCCTAAAATTATAATTAACAATTCTTCTACTCCTGTGATGGATAATTTAAAAGATAGCATATTTTCGCTGAGATATAAAAAATACATTCATTCTTTCTTTAGAAAATTCATCTGATCAAGAAAATGAGAAGCAAGTTATACCCTAAAAAAAGGTGAAATTGTCCATTGGTTATAATAATTCCTAGAGCATCTGTATTCACAAAAAAAAAAAAATGTCTTGGAATTGTCCTTGGGAATCAAAGGCAGCCTCGTGTGAAGAGAATCTCACACTATTCCAGATCATAAATAAGTACACTATCACAACTAAGCAATTGTAAATTACTGATCTGATAGTTGATTTGAGGTCACAGGCAGGTAACAATAAGCCAAATTTGAGAACTGCAGGAATAACTCTATCTATACAGCATTCTGATCTGTGTAAATTCTTCCCCAAATAAATGCCTTTCAATTACATACGGGAGACCATATTAAAGCCATAAGCATTCCTG